GACTCAAGTAAAGTCAATAATTCAAAAAGCAGAGAGGACAGCAACCTACATTTTTCGATCATCTCAAAGCCTCACTCAATTACTGCCAGTATGCTAGTAAACATAACCAAAGAATATAATACACTGTAAAAAATTATCCACAAAAGGTATAGCTAAAATAAAATGTTCACATGTAACAACTTATTTCCCAATAACATTAGTTAAATGAGGGATTGCTATGTATATTAAGCAGAAAGTTAACATCTGACAGCAGGGAATGATAGACTTCACTACCTCCCTCTGTACTTGGTTCCGTCCTCTATACACATTCATAATTTCATATTCCTTGGCCTGCCTTTATAATATGCCCAAGTTAGTACCCTCTTCTCTAAAACAGGTTATCTTGCCAGAATGTATAGACCTTAAACACACACCAAAGCTCAAGGTCTTTTCTGTATCAGTTTACATTTTTCTTTTCCCACACTGGGATGACAGATGCACATCCTAGATTCTTTATGTCCAGAGATAGGCATTTTTTCTTTTGTTTTTGGTAAGAAAGACCAAATCAGAAGTGAGATCTCTGCATTATGTTCTCTTCTAGGCAGCTCAAACAGTCATGTTAACATTATAAGTTAGAAGTAAGGCCGGGCATGGTGGCTTATGCCTGTAATCCCAGCACTTTGGGAGGCCGAGGCAGGTGGATCACCTGAGGTCAGGAGTTTGAGACCAGCCTGATCAACATGGTGAAACATCATCTCTTCAAAAAAAAAGAGTCAGAAGCTGGTTTCAATAGCAAAGTAAGCAAGTTCCTGTTCTGCAGCCCAGCCGATGTTAATGAATTCATTAGTACTTGGGGTTACACAGGCAGCGGAAGGAAGGAAAACAGGAAGATACATGTAGGTGTAGAAGAAGGAACTGCTGGAGAAGTATTCTAAGAAGGAGTAACTCCCCTCTTCCTCCTGCAAAATAAGGGACAAGGGCATTCAGGGTCAGTGCTATTGCACTGACCTCTAGGTTCTTCTATGCAAAAACACTGGCTATCAATCCAACTGCCCAATTAGCCTCGCCAGAGCAGGCTGCAGGAGCAAGGTGAAGCTCCTCCACCTGACTGGAATCTGCACAGGCTACTCCCAGGCTGCAGGTAGCTTAGAACACCATACAATCACAAAAGCAAATAACACACCTCAACAGCACATTTTGAACAGTAAACTGAAACACGTTTTCTAGGCTTTTTTTTTTCTTTTGACAAAAAGAGGGACTAAACAATTTGGTAATACAGAATATTTCCCCTTCCCTCATACTGTTTTCCATGTATTCATTCAACTGACACTAACAAATATTTCTTGTACACCTTCTACAGGCATTGTTAGGTGCAGAGACAAGTATACAGATTATCATAAAGATTACAACAAACTGTAGGGCCTCATTATAACTGTGCTCCCTATCCCAAACCACAAAACCCCATGGCACTTAGTCCCAGAAGGACCAGATATTCAGATCCAGAAGACTGTCTTTTTTTTTGAGATGGACTCATTTTGTAACTAGGGTGGAGTGCAGTGGTGTGATCTCAGCTCACTGCAACCTCCACCTCCCGAGTTCAAGCGATTCTCCTGCCTCAGCCTCCTGAGTAGCTGGAACTACATGCGCGCGCCACCAAGCACAGCTAATTTTTGTATTTTTAGTAGAGATGGGGTTTCACCATGTTGGCCAAGGATGGTCTCAATCTCTTGACCTCATGATCTGCCGGCTTTGGCCTCCCAAAGTGCTGCGATTACAGGTGTGATTATAGGTGTGAGTTACTGCGCCCTGCTGTTTCCTTTTAATGGTTTGCAACTGTGACCACAGAATACAAAGAACAGCCTCCTGCTTCTGTTATGAGATTGTGACAATCAAGAGACAACCTCTTTTAAAATGTTATCAATTCAAGAGCTGAAGTATCTGGCTTTAGGGTTTTACACCAATGAAATGACAGTAACACAAAGTGTAGGAAGCTGAAGTCTGCCCTGAAGGTAAAGGAACAGAAAATTTCATTTAGGAATTTAAAATTCAGCAGAGACAAAAAGCAAAAACTTTAATGCTGTGTGAAAGGGTTGGAATCTAGAAATGGATATCAAGAGAATAAACTAAAAGTCAAGGAATTACCAATTTAATGTAAAATAATTCTACGACATAAAGGATTATAAAAATAAAGATGATAGAAACAGTGATGTGTTTGTTCTCTAATCTTAAGAACCAAAAACAAAAGCAGGGCATGTGTTTTCTAGTTTCCATTCATTCACCAAAACATAGCTATTGTCTTACTAGTTCTAGAGAAATGAATAGAGCATATCAATATCACATTTTCACCAGCCAGAGAAGAAATGCTGTGAACTCCAAGATTTCCTGATCATCTTTTACCTGTACTCATATTTATCACTGCACTTTATCATGAGTGAGGCAGAGAGCCTGAACTATTTTACTTGTGTGTGCCTTTTTATTCTCCTTTGATAAGCAATTTCAAATGGGAAAGGGCCTCCTGCTGATTCCATTGTATGATTCTAGGGGCCAAAGTCCAACATCTTTGCAAACTTTTAAAAGTTATTTTTTATTTTTATTATTTTTTTTGAGATGGAGTTTTGCTGTTGTTACCCAGACTGGAGTGCAATGGCACGGCTCACCGCAATCTCTGCCTCCTGGGTTCAAGCAATTCTCCTGCCTCAGTCTCCCAAGTAGCTGGGACTACAGGCGCACACCACCATGCCCAGCTAATTTTTGTATTTTTAGTAAAGACGGAGTTTCACCTTGTTGACCAGGATGGTCTCGATCTCTTCACCTCGTGATCCACCCGCCTCGGCCTCCCAAAGTGCTGGGATTATAGGCGTGAGCCACTGCGCCCGGCCTATAAAAGTTATTAATAGAAAACATTGATTTTTTTTTTTTTTTTTTTTGAGACAGTTTCGCTCTTGCTACCCAGGCTGGAGTGCAATGGTGCGATCTCGGCTCACCGCAACCTCTGCCTCCTGGGTTCAGGCAATTCTCCTGCCTCAGCCTCCTGAGTAGCTGGGATTACAGGCACGCGCCACCATGTCCAGCTAATTTTTGTATTTTTAGTAGAGACGGGGTTTCACCATATTGACCAGGATGGTCTCGATCCCTTGACCTCATGATCCACCCGCCTCGGCCTCCCAAAGTGCTGGGATTACGGGCGTGAGCCACCGCGCCCGGCCGAAAACATTGATTTTAAATCTTTCTGAGATCGGCTATGACTCTGGGAAAATAATTTAGCATCTTTACCACTTGTACCTCAGTTTCTCAAAGACAAGTCATGATAATAAATTATATGTGAGGATGTGCTCTAAGCTTAACTTAAAGGTCCTGCATAAACTCAAGAAATGTTTCTAATACATAAACAGGCTAAAATCTCTAACCCGATTTTTAGAAATCAACACCAGTGAAATTTGTGCAAGAATTTACAACGCAAGGAGGATAGGCGTGGCTAGTAAATGGCAATCTTAACTTTGCCAGATTACAGATTTAAAAAGTCCTACAATTTGAAAGCTTAAAAAAAAACCCATTCCTACTTCCCTTCCAAGTGAGAAATCAAACCTCCACAGGGAAGCTGGCTGGGTGGGGAAGATACTGATATCTGGCACTAGACCCAAGTTGCAATACCAAGCAACTCTCATTTTCCCAAATTAGAAACTCCTTGCCCATCCCAATGGTGGTATGGCCTTCAAAAAGACTAGTAATTCCATAAAGACTAACCAAGCCCTATCTTCCCTACTTTCCCTCCAATCCATCCTTCTACCCCTTCTTTTCCTATCCAGAGACTAGCAGGTAACAGAAGCCAGATCAGAATGAACCCACAATCAAGGACGCAGCTAGACAAACTGTTCACATTCATCATTAAGGGCGACCTATCAGTCAGCTCTTAATCGCGGGGCCGTCACACCCGGAAATGCAATCTCAAGCGCAGCCCACTGAGAGTTAACACAGCATTCCTTAAGTTGTGCCCTTCTGCGAACGCCCCGCGCACGACCCCAGGAGACCGCGGGCCCCGGGTACGGTTGCCCCGCCTCCTGCCTCCGGCCTGCAGGTCACTCGCGCTTCCCGGCCACGAGGCGGGCCCAGCAGAGACCCCGTGAGGGCGCGCTCCCTAGGCTGCCGCAACGGGCGCTCAGGGGAACACAAGAGAGGCACTGGGGCCAGTCGCCTCTGGGGACCGCGCAAGGGGACGAGACACGGTCCCTAGAAGAACCCCGGGCAGCCTGAGGCAGCCCCAGGTAGGGCCCGCGCCTCAGGTGGGCCAGGGAGGCGGCGGCCGAGGCCGCGTCCCTTCAGCTGCGACCGCACGCAGGAATGAGCGACCCGGGCGGGTCTCCCACGCAGCCTCGGGCCCTCGCCCGAGACCTGCCCGCGGCCACTCTGGGACGACTCAGGGAACCGGTGCCCGGCCCCTCAGGGAGGCGCCCCGCCCCCAGGCGTCCCCAGCCCGGCGCGCGCCACGCACCGCGCCCCGCCCGCGTGCCGGTCCGCATTTTCCCGCCCGTCGCGCCGGGGGCGGGGGTCGCGCGCCCTCCCCCGCCCCCACGCCACTCACCTGTCGGGCCCAAGGCTCGCTCCATGGCCGCCCGCGCGGTGCGGTGCGGCGCGGGCCCGGCCGCCCCCGCCGCCACCGGGGAGGGGCAGCCCCACGCCGCGCTCACCGCCCCCCGCCGCCGCCGCCGCAACTGCGGCTCCCGCCCACCCCTGGACCGGCCATTCCCAGGCCACCTCTCCCCGCGCTGAGCGGCAGTCCCACACCCATCCCCCGCCTCCGCGGCCCCTGGCTGTTGGTACCGTCCTAGCGTAACGCCTGCCCCGCGGCCAATCCCAGCGCTCGCTCGGCGCGGCCCCGCCCCTGCCCCAGTAGGCGTCCTTTACCGGACCTGCTCCGGACGGCCCCCCTTAACCCCTTCCGAACCGGGCGCGTCCGCTTAACTCCCTCGGCGCCGGCCCTGGTCTCTACTCCTGGCCGCGCCGCCCTGGCAGGCTTACATAAACTGGCCTCTCACTTCTCACTTCTTTCGCTCTTTCTTTTTTCTTGTTCTTTTTGCTCCATCTCCCACCCCGTCTTCGCGTTTTCCTCCCTGCTTTTCTTAGGTTGGTAGGCAGCAGGACTGGAGAGTTGAGGTCCCTTGGGTCAAGTTCTGTTTGTGAGAAGCATATTCCCTCCTCCTTTTGCCTTTTTAATTTGTCTTGACTTCTGCTCGGAGGTTCTGCCTATCTAAATGTATTCCCCCGCCTCTTTTGCCCAGGAAAAAGGCTAGCCTTCCCACACTGAGTGCAAATGGCTCTTTCTTCGGACCAGAGCAGAGCATCCTGCTACATGCTTTCAGGAGCATGTCACAAAATTATTATTCATTGATTGCAAGATTAGTCGTTTTACATCTGTCTTTTAAGGACTGTAAGCCCCATGAGGGCAGGTCAGTCGCCTGACCGCAGTGCACCCAATGGGCGCGGATAAATGGTGTGAATGAAAGAGTCTCCCTTTTGTTTGCTTTCCACTGACTTTATACAAAGCCGCCACTGTGTCCATCCATTTATTCACCATATACTAAAGCGCGGACTTAGTTTGCCTGAACCTGAAATATAATGCAGGTTGCTCCGTGGGATAAGATGCGTGATGGAGAAAGACTGAGTTGACACTTTTTCTTCAGGCTAAATAGTTTATTTAATCAGTAAGGTGTACTGGGCAGAATTCTTCCTTATTTGCTGTATGATACAGGATGTACCAGTTAACTTCGCTGAGCGTCAGTTTCCTTAAACTGGAAAATGGGAGTTAATCACAGTAACTAGTTCACAGGGTTGTTGTGAGGATTCAGTTAGGAAATGTGTGGGGAAAGTACTCTAAGATTATTGTATAGGATTGGCTATTGTTCATCTATGTATTTACTGAGCATTTACTATCAGGAGATCCTAGAGAAATAATTGGGCTTGACAGTCGTTCCCGACACTGTAGTTAGGGAGGCAGCATTAATCACTGCAAGGGGCGTACAGTCAAATGCAGAAGGCATTGTATCAGCCTTTTGCTGCATGTAGTTGAAAAGGTTTGGAGGTCGTTTTCTGGCCGGGGAATACATAATTCCTGGGGAAATGAGCAGGATGATAATGAGAATCTACCTTATTTTCTGCACAGAAAGGTCGGTCTGCTTGCAGTTAGCTAATCTTTCTGAACCTTGCTCACTACATCAGGAGATCATAAAGCAAAAGGGTAAATCAACGGTTCCTTTAAGACACTTTACCCAAAAGGATTCTTCTTTCTTGTCTGTAACTCTGACAAGGACAGTGAGGGTGAACGCTCCAACTGTCACTGTTCAGGAAAAGGCCAGCTTATCCTGCAGCCTCAGCTTCCTGGGTGGATGATCCCTTCTGCCTTCAAGGATTTTCAAGTGGGGGCAGGGGGCAGTCATTGCCTATCCAAGCAACCGACTTCAGTGCTTAATTTCGCATCCATCTATCCATCCCACATCCTGCAGGACAGACACACTTCCTCCTTTTCTATCCTCAGAGAAGGAGAGCCATGGGTTCAGGGCCTCTCTGTGAAAGGCCTTCAGATGACGAAATTGCTCTGTCCGCCATTTTCCCTTCACCATGCTGCATTACCCAGGCCCTTCTTGAGTGTATGCACAGCACCAGCACCGTGCCTGACACTCCATGATGTCAGTTTCTGCCCCCTCCCCCTATAATGGGTTATTTTCCAACCAATCAACAGTCAATATATGCTAAGTATTGTGAGGGATGCAATCACTTAAGAAGGGCCTTTACATGACTAGCATACAGGAAGCAGCTGCAAGGAACAGGGACACTTAAATTATGCAGCAATGACTATGTGATCACTGAAAGAATCACAGGAAGTCCAGGAAGACAGTGTGGGCTGGTATTGAGGTGAGCAAAATATGGGCGGGAGAAGAGAGGAACAGTCCTGTGAACTTATAGCCGGCATCTTCAGCAGATAATGCATGACAGGAGAATTGTTCATGTGTTCATTCATTCATTGATTCATACATTCATTCATTTAATGAATGTCCACCAAGTGCCAGGCACTGAGCTACCAGACCATGCAGAGATGAAGAAGGCCTTGTTCCCATTCTTGAGAAGCTGGCACGAGCCCCAGTTAAGGAGGTCTGAGCAGTTTGTCAAGATTCTTGTGATGCTCCTTTTACCACTCCTACAATGTATTGTGTTTCTACGTGTCTTTGTCCAATCTCCTCTTTGCCTTTCTTCCTTGTTCCCAAACTGCAAGAATTTTAAAAGACATAGACTCTTTCACCTTTATTTCCCACTTGTAGAGTGCTTCATATAAAGTACCTTCTCCACATTGATGTGTGGAAGCTCTTTGAGTTATACCGGAGCAGGAATTTGGCTGTCCTGCTCCAACCAAGGGTGGTAGGCATCCTTACCGGAAGGATGGATATTAGCTCCAGTGGGAAACCCCAATCTTGGATATTAGCCCCAGTGTGGAACCCCAGTCCTGGTTATTAGCCCCAGTGTGGAACCCACCAGAGGCTTGTCCATGGCCTGCAGAATTCAATAGGAACACCTCTACTTGGCATTTACTGCCCTCGTCACCTTTTCAGCCCCATTTTCTGCTAATTTCTTACCCTCCACCCTAAGGGGCTCACTTGCTCTCCTTTCCCTGCCCTCATGGTTGTGATCACATTGATTCTTCCTCCAGGAAATCCTCATCACTCCCACCTGTAAAAATGTTACACAGCTCTCAATGCCACTTGTTCACAAAGCCTTTCATAGCTTTCCCAACTGCACATGCTTTTCTTGGCTTCTGAGACCCAGCACTTTATTTGTAACTGTCTTGTGGTGGGTTGTATTGAAGTCTTTGGGGATCTGTCTGACCCTGTTCCCCAGGTTGTACTGACATCTGCGTCTTCTGGAGCACTAACATTGTACATGGCCTGTGGTAGCCGTGCAATGGCTTGAAAGGGAACTTTGAGAACAGATCCTGCAGAGCAGGGAATTGAGCCCCAGAGACATTTCTTGGTCCCTTCATCATTGTAAGCACTTTCCTTAAACTGTTTCAGGATTTCCAAGTCTCTGCCAATTTGTCAAGCCCTAGGACTCCAATAACAGTCCCGCAATCTTAAGCTAGAAGGAGGGTATTATCTCAAGTTGCTTGCATACACGAAGGCAAGACACATAGGTATGTACACACACACACACACACACACACACACACACAGTTTCTTTTAACCTAGGTAATACAGCTACCAGGATGGATCCCTCTGAAACTAATTAAGTTAATTTTACCTCAAGCAAGTTGAGAGGAGCCCTAGGAAAGCTGACATTGTACCAAGGTGCCAGGAGCCTGGGGAGAGGCTGACACGTATCTCTTTGTTCCCTTCAGGAGTGTGTGTCCTGCCTCAGCTGCTTCCCAGGCAGGTTTGTTCTCTGCATTGGGCCATCTATGGACAGCTGTTTCTGCATTTCTTTCCCAACGGGGCAAACTCCTTTCTTTCATTTTGCCACCAGCTCTGTAGAGCTACTCACAGCCCACCTCTTGCTTATAGCAATGGACTGCCCACTTACCCCATCACGTGGCACCTCTGCCAATGCCATCTGAGCAAAGAACTCACATCCCAGGGACAGCATCATAAGGCACGTACATGCACAGGCACACCCAGCTTCTCTCCTGAGACATCCAGGCTGCGGATTCTGAAAGTGGTGGGAATCTTTTGGTTATTTTTTCACTCTAGCAATACTATTTTTAAGAGAAGCTTTATTAAGATATACATACCATGGGGGGGGAGGGGAAAAAGATATACATACCACAAAACTCACTTGCTTAAAATATACTCAATGCCCTTTAGTATATTTACAGAGTTTGAGCAATCATTTACATAATTTAATTTTAGAACATTTTCATTACCCCCAAAAGTAACATGGGCTATTTTTTCTTTTGTTCTGAAAATATATTTATCTATTTAACTTTGTTCTTTAAATTTGCACATTAAAAGCAAAAAGAAAAATACATTAATGGATGTGTTAGATTTCTAGAGTTAGAAATGAAGAGGAGTTACGGCTCTCGAAGCTGTGGTTCACGTAGCTGTCTTGTATGGCTATAGTAATTTATTTAACTACCCCAAAATGTACACTTTATTGTGGTATATACACTTCAGTAAATGTCCAGGGCCACATCTTTGACATTTTCCAGTTTGTTGTGAATTTCTCTAATGCCACATATGGCTCTCAAGGGATTGGGTAGAGACAATACTGCAAATTCCAGATTGCTAATTCCCACAAGGCAATACTTTTATAATAAGCCCAGGATGGTACCACAGGTATATTGGTATTTAATACACTTTTTCTGTTGTGACGGAAGCTCATTAATTTTTATTAACTCAATTTAATGCATGAAGTAATTGCAGCATGGAAGTTCTGAGTTCCTCAGACTTCTCTTTGAGATCCTGCTTGGAAAGCAAGGAAGCTTCTACCATCCATGGATAATGTGGTGAGAAGTTCAGCAGAAGCCTCTTTGAATCTCTCATGGATGACCAAGGGATGTGCTAGAGGACAATTCTCAGTCTGGCTACAGAGGAGCTTTTTTTTTTTTTTTTTTGAGACAGAGTCTTCCCTCTGTCACCCAGGCTGGAGCGCAGAGGTGTGAGCTCAGCTCACTGCAAACTTTGCCTCTGGGGTTCAAGCAATTATCCTGTCTCAGCCTCCCAAGCAGCTGGAATTACAGACACACGTCACCAGGCCTGGCTAATTTTTGTATTTTTAGTATTGATGGGGTTTGCCACATTGGCCAGGCTGGCCTCAAACTCCTGACTTCAAGTGATCCTTTTGCCTTGGCCTCCCAAAGTGTTGGGATTACAGGCTTGAGCCACTGCATCCAGTCCAGAGAAGCTTTTAAAATGGCTCTATGCCTTCCCCCATCTGCAAAGATTTGAATTTAATTGTCTTATGATAAGGTCCTAGCAAGGATATTTTTAAAAACTCTCAGTTTATTCTAATTTGCAACCGAGGCTGAGAACCACTGTCCTACTAGCGACTAAGCCAGGGCCATGTTAATAGGTTGAATCTTGAATGATGTGAAATTTTCACTTTTTTTTTAGATGGAGGCTCACTCCGTTGCCCAGGCTGGAGTGCAATGCCTCAATCTCAGCTCACCAAAACCTCCGCCTCCCAGGTCAAGTGATTCTCCTGACTCACCCTCCTGAGTAGCTGGGACTATAGGCATGTGCCACCCCACCTGGTTAATTTTGTGTTTTTCGTAGGACAGGGTTTCTCCATGTTGGTCAGGCTGGTCTCAAAATCCCAACTTCATGTGATCTGCCCACCTTGGTCTCCCATAGTGCTGGGATTACAGGTGTGAGCCACCATGCCCAGCCCATGAAATTGTTATCTTTATAGGGCAAAGTTGAACATGGATAATTTTATATCGTTCAATCTAATATACAGGAAATTGAGTTTTATTTTCAAGGGAAGGTGGTAACCTTCTATTGGAAGCCAGTCATTTCTCTCCAAGTGCCCATCCTGCTGTGAGGGAGGATGAGAAAGAAGTGACAGGGAACAAAGCCAGTGCCCTGTCCGTCAAGATGCTGCTTCTTGGTAGACCAGACCCCCTATATCTTACCTTCCAATGGGGCTTAGACATTCAGAAGCTTGTGGCTTCTAGGCATGAAGGGAAATGAGCAAAGCAGGCCAAAGGTGAGGCAACCAGAAGGGTTGAGACACACCAGAAACCCTGGTCCCTCCTTCAAAGGCATTTACATTTAATTGTGTGTGTACACACACACACACACACACACACACACACACACACGGCAGGCCAAATAATAGACATCTATGGGTTGAAATCTAGTCCTCAGTCCTACAGTTTGTGACCCTCTCCTGGAAAGTAGATGTTTGTGGAACAGGGAGGTTACCCAGAACAGAGGACAAGGTACTTGACATAGTGGGACTACAAGCCCAGGGAGAAAGAGCAAGTACCTCACTGATGCCTGCCATACCCCTCTGGGGCCCATGGGGGTAATGGGGAGTCATGGCATGTAGGCAGGGAGTTCCCTCAGTCAAGGGAGTACAGGGGATCCCTGAAGGGAGTGTGCTGGGATTTTCAGAGACGTTAGCAAAGCTTTGGAAGAAACAATACCAGGCTGGTATTTTCACCCTTTCATAAGAAAGGGTCTCACTTAACGTGACCACCACTCATCCAACCAAAACCACCAGATGGGTTAGACTCATCTTCCTCATCCCCACCTCTGATCGTCACCAAGTTCTGGTAACTGTGGCTGCTAGAGACTTCTCAAACCACCTCCCTACCGCCAGCCACCCAACCACTGCTCACGTTCAGGGCACCATTTTCTCCCCACTGGATTATGGAAATGGTTAATTTTATGTGTCAACTTGACTGGGCCATGGGATGCCCAGATAAATATTATTCCTGGGTGTATCTGTGAGGGCATTTCTGGAAAAGATTAGCATTTGAATTGATAAACTGAGTCAAGCAGATGGCCCTCCCCAGTGTGGGTAGACTGCATCCAATCTGTTGAGGGTATCAACAGAACAAAAAGGTGGAAGAAGGTTGAATTTGCTCTCTGACTACTTTAGCTGGGACATGGATCTCCTCCTGCCTTTGCTGCCCCAGCTTCTCATGCTTCAGATCTGGACTGGAATCTATACCATCAGCCCTCTGGCTCTCAGTTTATACCACCAGCTTTCCTGGGTCCCCAGCGCGCAGACAGCAGATTGTGGGTGTTCTTAACCTCCATATGCACGTGAGCCAATACCTTCTAATAAGTCCCTTTTCTAGAGATAGATGTATACATAGATCCTATTGGTTGTTTGTCTGGAGAGCCTTGACTGATAGATTTAACCCTAAGGGCTGAATGTGTCCCCACAAACTCATAACTTAATGGTTTATCATGAACAACCTCCTACATTATTACATATTTTTATTAAAACATTTTCTTAAATCATACCATTTTAAAAGATCTTTGGGGCCAGGTGTGGTGACTCATGCCTGTAATCCCAGCATTTTGGGAGGTTGAGGTGATCACCTGGGTTAAGAGTTTGAGACAGCTTGGCCAACATCATAAAACCCTGTCTCTACTAAAAATAAGAAAATTAGCCGGGCGTGATGGCAGGCGCTGGTAATCCGAGCTACTCAGGAGGCTGAGGCAGGAGAATCACGTGAACCTGGGAGGCAGAGTTTGCAGTGAGCTGAGATCGCGCCATTGCACTCCAGCCTGGGTGAGAGAGCAAGACTCCATCTCAAAAAGAAAAAAAGATCTTTAGTATTCTATGCTGAGGATATACTGACGTTTGTTTAGCCAGTTCCTTTTGTTAAACATTTAGGCTGCTTGCATTGAAAATTTTTTAATAAAGGTCAGGGGGCAGACATGCACAACAGAGATGGAGGTGTTCCCCCAGGACCCAGGCACATGTAACACAGAGGCAACTTGTCACGGATACAGCACAGTTCCACTCCAAGGGCTCCTGGAGAATCTATAAGCAGCTGGAATTATCCTCTGATGATTCATCCAGGTGTCAAGGGCAGAACACCCTCTGGCCTGCTTAGCTAGCTGCCTGCTAATCAGCAGCTTACGCAAGAAAAGGCAAAGTTCATTATCTTGCATATGTCTGCAGTTTTTCATTTTTCTCCTTTCTCCTCTTTTCCCACTTCTTATTTTGGCTCTGACAGATGAAATAAATCTATTATTAGTTTCCCTTGTATATAAGTAAATGGTGTCCTAATAATTAACTCTATGTCTTTGAATTTTTCTTTGATATTATTATTATTTTTGAGACAGAGTTTTGCTCTGTCACCCAGGCTGGAGTGTAGTGGCATGATCTCAGTTCACTGCAACTTCCACCTCCTGGGTTCAGGTGATTCTCCTGCCTCAGCCTCCCGAGTAGTTGGGAGTACAGGAGCAGCTCACCACACCCAGCTAATTTTTTTTTTTAATTTTTTTTTTAGAGACACAGTCTCGCTATGTTGCCCAGGCTGGAGTGCAGTGGCTATTCACAGGTGCGATCTCACTACTGATCAGCACGGGAGTTTTGACCTGCTCCGTTTCTGACCTGGGCCAGTTCACCCCTCCTTAGGAAACCTGGTGGTCCCCCGCTCCCGGGAGATCACAGTATTGATACTGAACTTAGTGCGGACACTTGATTAGCATAGCGCACTACAGCCCAGAACTCCTGGGCACAAGCGATCCTCCCACCTCAGCTTCCCAAGCAGCTGAGACTACAGGCACGTGCCACCACGCCTGGTGATTTTTTTTTTTTTTTTTTTTTTTTTGCTATTTTTAGTAGAGACGGGGTTTCACCATGTTGGCCAGGATGGTCTCTGTCTCTTGACCTCATGATCCACTCACCTCGGCCTCCCAAAGTGCTGGGATTACAGGCGTGAGCCACTGTGCCTGGCCACCTTTGATACTATTATACACGGTGTTTCTGTGCTCATTCTCATAACTGTATTGTGTGCTTATTCGGGACAGTGTTTTATAGCACTAACTTCTGGAGGATGCTGTGTGACTGTATTAACCCATCTGACTCAGCCCATAATGTGAAGGAAGGCAGCTTTCAGCATCACAGTTTATTAAATGCCCCAAAGAATGACACAGAAATAAATATAGAGTGCTCAATGAAAAGCTAAGTATTAGAGAAACTTACAAGGAAAATGAAAATGATTCTGGCCCTTCAACTTT